TCCAGGCCTTCAGAAATGAGGTGGCTGTCTTGCGGTGAGCCCAGCCCCTGGAGCAGCAGGGTTGGGTAGGGCCGGGCTGTGCAGGTCAGCACCTGCTATGGGTTCTGAGGGCTACTCCTCTGAAGAGGAGGGAAGTCTATTTCCTTCCAGCGTATGTGCTGGAAGCCAGAAGAGCCCTTTGCATGGACACACCTCATCTCTGGAATCAACTCAACAGTCCAGCTGTGTGGGGTTTGGCTTGTGGTAGGGGGATCATTTTTACCTGTTTCCAGGCATCTTTTTATAGCTAATAAAGAGAGAGCCCTTGCTCTCTAGTCACTGAATTTCTCTTAGGTTTGTAGGGATGAGTTGGACAGAGGTGGATTCCACAGATGAGGGGTCCTGTGCAAAGAGTACCCTCTCTCTGTAAGCAAGGCCAGCATGGAGGTGAATGAAGGGTGAGTGGGCTTCAGCTGATTATAGGTAGTACTCTTATGGTCATGCTTTCCCTGCTTCCCCTTCCCCCAGCAAAACACGGCATGTTAATATCCTGCTGTTCATGGGGTACATGACAAAGGACAACCTGGCGATTGTGACCCAGTGGTGTGAGGGCAGCAGTCTCTATAAACACCTGCATGTCCAGGAGACCAAATTCCAGATGTTCCAGCTAATTGACATTGCCCGACAGACAGCTCAGGGAATGGAGTAAGTAGACAGCTTGGTGAGTCCTTGTGGCCTGAACCCTGAGTTGCCCTTGTAGGAACCAGACTGAGTGGCACCTGGGTGGGCTCTTTGACATCTGAAGCTCCCGTTTCTCATCAACCAGACCTAGCTACCATCTGTAGGAGCCTTGTGCCCAGGCAGCAGGAATACGCTCTGCTCACCGGTGCTTTTGTCAATTAAAAAATATATATTTTAAATTGCATGTTTATATGGTCTGTGAGTGGCAGTGCTCAGGAGATGGGTGGTCCTGGGGCTGGAGTCAGTCGTCAGCTGCCTAATGTGGGTGTTGGGAATCAAAATGGGATCTTCTGCAAGAGCAGTGACATGTTAACCTCCAAACCGTCTTTCCAGCCCTTTGTCACGTTGGATCATCCATTTTCTTTAAAAGGCCATCTTTTTAGCTCCTGGATCCCCTGGATCTACGGAGCAAGATCCAGAGTTTGAGGTTAGCTTGATCTATAGAGCAAGTTCCAGAATAGCTAGGGCTATACAGAAAACCCGTCTCAAACAGCCAAAAAATAAAATTCATACAGAGCTCTGAACTTTAACATTCACATATCATAAGAAGTCTTTCTTTTGGAGGTAGGGCTTGGGGGCCTTTCTGGATTCAAAGTACAGCCATCCTACTAAATGCTGCATTCTTACCATATAGAAAAATCCCCAGCTTATAGCCATCCCCAGCTCCTGACAATTGGCCTTCCCACTGCTGGGTTTTGTCTTTGGTAAGTGGAATGTGAGGTAAAAGATCGCATCCTACATGCTTGGCTTTGTTTGCAGAGCAAATCCAAGTTGCAGTATGCAAGGCGAATTGCTACCCACAGTTAGCTGATGGCCAGTGAGACAGTCCGAGTTACTTTTGAGTAAAACTGATGTTTGATGTCAGTCCATTTACACTGTGGCCTTTCTATGTGACATTCTTAGGCTGGGAAGACAGGTCCTTGGGTATCTTATTAGCTGTAGCTAATTAACTGATTGATTTCTCTCTTTCACAGCTATTTGCATGCAAAGAACATCATCCACAGAGACATGAAGTCCAACAGTATCCTTTGGTATTGAGTTCTCAGCTTAGGGACCCAAAGGGGCCTTTTTCTCAAATATGGTTCATGGTTCCAGGGGAGAGCTTTTTAAAGGAAAACAAAAATGAAGTTAGTTAAGAAGCCAAACAGGCCCTCTGCAGCCTCCATCTCACCTGGGCTGCCGTGACTGTCCACGAGAGTTCCTTCCTTAAGGTTTTTTTCCCCAACAGTGATCTGTAAACAATTCCTTCAGAGTTGGGATACAAACTTGGAATGAACTTGAACTCAGCCTGGTTGGATTATTCAAAGTTTGCTTGAGAGTTTATTAGCATCTATTTATATCTCATCTGTGGAAGATGTGTGGCTGTACATACAGACGAAAAAGTAATTGCAAGTCAAGATTTTCAAGATTCTGGATTTATTTCCCATCCTCGGATGCATATATGTGTTACCAACAAGTGCAAAGTGATTGCTGCCTCCTGCTCACTTGGTCCAAGCAGCATAATGCCATCAATACAGTAGAACAATGTGATATTTGGTGGAAGTCACAGATAATCAAGATCCCTTCAAACTAAGTTATGACACAGGGCAGGAGAGGTAAAACATCCTTGAGGTAAAACTGTAAGGGTGTTTTCCTGGCCTTGCCAACTAAAAGCAAATTGTTTCTGGTGATCCTTATGGACAGGTACCAAGAAAAGGCATTTTTCTTCAGGCTGGAGAGGTAGTTCAGAGGTTAAGAGCATTGATTGTTCTTCCAGAGGTCCTGAGTTCAATTGCCAGCAACTACATGGTGGCTCACAACCATCTATAGTGAGATCTGATGCCCTCATCTGGCCTGCAGGCATACATGCAGACAGAAGAAATCAATCTAAAAGAAACGGCACTCCCTCTCCCTCACACCAGCTGTGCACCTTTTATGCTGTGAGTTGGTGCACAGCTGGTGTGCCAGTGTCAGGCTTAGCTGTGCTGCATTAGTGGTTGTGACCTTCTTGCTACACTTTCTTGAAGTAAAGTTTTTTGGCAGCTAAGCACTGCTCTAAGATCTTGGTCACAAAGTGGACCAGTTCTAGCCAGTGTTTAAAAACATTCAGTGGTGAGGCTGCTGCTGTTTTGTTACTGTCATGAGTAGGGCATGTAGGCGGGGTGGGAAGCTGGTGAGCAGTCTGAGGCCCAGTTATTGGGCCTACACCATCATTTCCTGCCTCCTGAAGATAAGTGATTTCAGAATTTGATTTAGTAGTGAGGCGAAGGAGGTAGAAAGCACTGTGACGAACGTTGACCTGTCAGTCTCCTTAACAAGCATTGAGATATATTTCTCCATGAAGGCCTCACGGTGAAAATTGGAGATTTTGGTTTGGCAACAGTCAAGTCACGCTGGAGTGGTTCTCAGCAGGTTGAACAGCCCACGGGCTCTGTGCTGTGGATGGTAAGGAAGCTGGCCCCACACAACTTCCTGAGCACCATGAAGTGGAGCAGGGTGCAAACTTGACATCATTTCTGCACATTTTGGGAGTCTGGTTGATCCCTGGTGTCAGCTTAAGGCAAAACCACTTATCTCCTAGGAAGGCAACAGAGGCCAGAGCCTGGGGGTTAAGTCTTTAGGGAAGAGCTACCCTGGGCTAAGGACTGGACTCCCTCCAACTAGTTGGAATAGCCTGGCTCCTGAATGTCTCTGGAGCCCATTACCCAGGGACTAACATACTTTGTCCTCATAGGCCCCAGAAGTAATCCGAATGCAGGATAACAACCCGTTCAGCTTTCAATCTGATGTCTACTCCTATGGCATTGTGCTGTACGAGCTGATGACAGGGGAGCTTCCCTACTCCCACATCAACAACCGAGATCAGGTGATCTGCACGGGGCCTGGCAGAGCAGCAAGGGACTAGTTAGTCCCAGTGTCTGTCGTTCACAAACTCCTTTGCTCAACTGTTTCCTTCTTTAGATCATCTTCATGGTGGGCCGGGGATATGTTTCCCCAGACCTTAGCAGGCTCTACAAAAACTGCCCCAAGGCAATGAAGAGGTTGGTGGCCGACTGTGTGAAGAAAGTAAAAGAAGAGAGGCCTCTCTTTCCCCAGGTTAGGTGGAGCTCAGGAGCTCAAATACGATTACAGTCTGAGGTGGGCCAGGGGTCTGTGGGGAGAGGACCTTCCTGTGTGCTTAGACGCCTGACTGAAAGGTATGGCTGGGGAGATAGCAAGTCCAACTAACGAGACCACATCCGGGGCCTTGTTTCAGATCCTGTCTTCCATCGAGCTGCTTCAGCACTCTCTGCCGAAAATCAACAGGAGCGCCTCTGAGCCCTCTCTGCATCGGGCGGCCCACACTGAGGACATCAATGCTTGCACGCTGACTACATCCCCGAGGCTACCAGTCTTCTAGCTGCTGATGTAGCTGTTCTTAGGCCACCAGGGGAAAAGAGTCAGCAGGCACCACTTTGTTTCCTTGGGGGTAGAATGCATGTTTTCAGAGAAGCTGCTGCTAAGGACCTAGACTACTCACAGGGCCTTAACTTCATGTTGCCTTCTTTTCTACCCTCCTGCCCTGGGAAAGGAAGCTGTCCACCATGCTAGCCTGCTCTGCTCCAGGAATACAAGTCAGCGGAGTATTTTAGAGCAAGAAAATGGCCTTGGAGAGAAGTCAAAGTGGCTTGCACTCTGGCTGCTGCAGGGACGTGCAATCGGGAACTTAGCTCGCTGAGCCTATCTGCTGCAGGGCACAGACAGTGGTGCAGTGCCAGTTTTGCACACGGAGTCTTGGCCACCTGGGGGACCCTGCTTTGGTACTACAGAACTTCACTTTATGGACACACCCTCTCTTACTGTGTCTAAGGTGTCCTGTGTGGATGGCTTTCCAAGCACGGTGCTCCACCTTCGGGCAGCCTCCCACACGCTGAATCTGTCTTCCAGAAGCTGCCCCTATGGGGTGGGCTGCAGCCCAGCCTATCTCTAGTCACATCCTTGTCTGTAAGAAAGCCAGGAATACAGGTTTTCTTAATGATTTTGGGTTTTAATTTTGTTTTTATTGCGCCTGACAAGATACAGTTATCTGATGGTTCCTCAATTATGTTATTTTAATAAAATAAATTAAATTTAGGTTTAATGGCTTGTGACTCCTTCAAAAGTAATGCTGAGCTCACAGGCAGTGTGGACACCCTATTTGTTTGGTTTCTTGTGTAAAACTCAAGGAGGGTCTGTGCTGTGTGAGCCTTTTCTGCAGTTATATGAACAGCTGAGTAAAAAGCAGACAGGTAATACCCTCCCCAACACACATACACACACACTATAAGGAGTGCATTTATAAAATATCTGAGATCTACAGAGCTTTTTACAAAAATAAATTTAGGTTTAGAACAAACTTGCTGTGACTTACAAAGTTATACGCACTACATTTACAATCCAGCTGTCTTGGCTGGCTTCACGTCCCCTCAGGTATGAATGACTGTGGGTCAAGACCACAAAAACAGCGTAGAGTAGGGCCTACTTTACAGGCGAGAACAGGCAGTTTGAATTGTGATGCCTCAGTGTCTTATGCTCTCTCTCACTATAAGGGGAGGATGGCGATGGAGTTTCCCTGGAGACCTTTATAGATAGGGTTTCTATCATTATAGGACCCACCCTTTAACTGTCAACTGCTTTGGGACTCTGGAGGGAACTAAATCAAGCCTGACCATCCTCAGAGCAGTAAGAATCTATGCTGTAGTGCAGCACCAACATGACCACGTGTTCTACAGAGGTGTATAAATTCCAAGGCTCACAACACACTACATTAGAGATTGGTCACTGCAGAGGAGCCCTCTACAGGGCTGGCGACGCCTTGGTAAGAAAAACAGATCTGCTGCTTTAATGAGCAGCTCCAAGTTTACTGTTGCTTAAGAAAGTCACAAAAGAAAGATGGCAGTTGGGTTTCATTTAAAAGCAATCAATTAAAACAGCTGGACCACATAGCTGGTCCCCGGTAAAGGGGCTGGAGGTACAACTAAGAGCCCAACTCTAAACGTAGTGATTCCATGGACTTGGTTATCTTATGTCCTTCCCTTCACCAGGGCTGTGAAAGTGGAGCATGAAGAGACCAAGGGGATTTGCTACCACACTTACATCCAGGTACATGCTACCTTGGGTCGGTGACAGAGGCTTTCGCACCCTGCCTTGGAAAGTTGTGACCACAGAGCCCGAAATCAGTGTCAGCACTGATTCTAGGGTTCTGATGATTCTACTCCAGAAAGGTGCATGAAGAGGTCTCCAAGCTCTGTCACGTCGACATCATCGGTGCTAGGGACATGCTGGGTTTCTCGGTTCTCGATAAAATCCCAAAGCCGCACTGAGTTAAAGAACTGCAAAAACAGCCAAAAAGCACGCCTGGGTCAGTGGAGATGGCAGCAGACTGAGTGCTAGCTTGCTTTGCTTTTGTTGACCCCACTGCTCTGCTGCCAAAGTGTTTGGGAGGGGCCTGGGCATAACCAGCTTACCCTCACAGTGCCTTCAGAACTCAGCTGCTTCCGAGGTTTCTCTGGCTCTGCCAGTCGCCCATCAGGGTAAGCATGGCGGTAAAGGCACTTGCTTCCAAAGGGACAGGTCCCCTTGCCTTGTTCAAAGTATTTACATGCCTTTTTCCTGAAAAGCACACACACACACAATAAATCAATCAGTCAAAGACCGATGAAAATAAGGAACAGCTACAGTCTTCCTGCGGCCCCACCTGTGACACTGGCGAAACCTGTGCTGGGAGAAGTGAAGCGACTTGTTGAAGTCACAGCTGGGATTCTGATTTCCAAGCTGGGCAAAGCTGCTGGGATGCACTGCGTGGAGGCTGCAGTGCTCAGTAGCAAGGACGGCCCTCCCCGCAATGCTAGCTGCTCCAGTGCCTCTGCACCAGGGCTGAGCGAGGCCTGGGTACTCCAGGTGCCCATGTTTGAAGCTGATTCACCAGCTCTGCCCAAGTCTCCAAAGCAAGTGAGTTAGTTTCCTTTCCTCCTGGTCAAAACTTCTGACAAAGCGAGAGGGCAGCCTGGTGAAGCAGGTCTTAGATGCCTGAAGCTGTGGGTGCCTTCTACTTTTAGAGCCTAGCTTAACTCTTCCTTGTACCTTTGACCCTTCTCCACTGTTCTGGGATTTTATATTTTTATATAAATAAATAAATAGTAGTAAACTCTCAGGTCTCTAAGGGCCCTTTCACTAGCCCCAGAACTGCCTCCTCATTGGGCATGGTGGCCTACACCTGTAATCCCAAACCTTAGGAAGCAGAAACAAGAAGGTCTCAATGAGTTTTGAGGCCAGTCTAGTCTACAGATAGTTCCAGCCCAAACAGGGCTATAAATAAGACGCTGTATCAAAAACAAACCTGCCGGGTGATGGTGGTGCACATCTTTAATCACTCAAGCAGCACTCGAGAGGCAGAGGCAGGTGGATCTCTATGAGTTTGATGCCAGCCTAGTTCCAGGACAGCCAGGGCTACACAGAGAAACCCTTTTTTCAAAAAGAAAAAAACAAAAACAAAAATGGCCCAGAGGTGGTGGCGCATGTCTTTAATCCCAGCACTCAAGAGGCAGAGGCAGGCGGATCTCTGAGTTCGAGGCCAGCCTGGTCTACAGAGTGAGTTCCAGGACAGCCAAAGCTGTTACACAGAGAAACCTTATCTCAGCCAAAACAAAGACAAAACACCACCAATAACAACAAAAACCACAAACAAAAAACCCCAAGCAAACAAAAAACAAACCAAACAAAATCAAAACCAACCAACCACAACAAAAAACCAGAAACCCTGCCTTCCCTAGGCCCCACTCTGCCTGCCTGCCAGTCATGTCTTCCTTGACGTCCTCCCATCCCCACTAGTCTCTAGCCCCTTCAAAGGACCACAGTGGAGCTGTGATGCCCACCCACAGGATAGGGTATTCAGGGCTCCACAAAGCTTTCTTCTTGCACCCAAGGGAGACCCAAGTGCCTTCTCTGTTCTGCCTTAGGTCACTAATGAAATCTGCCACCACACTGCCGTGTCACACTTTGATGATCTCACTCATCTCTCTGTTGCCTGGTGGCACTGGGCAGAAGCTCATGTTCTGGAGAATGCTCAAGAACATCCACCAAAGGGACGCACAGCCAGGCAAGGACAGCAGCATGGAGGCGACTTCTAACCAGCACAGCATCTTTCTAAGCCCAGCCAGCTCTGTCCTGCTGCATCTGCCCTCTTGTGGATGGATAATCATATGACAGGAGGGAAAAAATGGTAAAATGGGTAAATATTAAGCTACAGTAATTAGATAAACATAAAAACTTTCAAAACAACAGGAAAAAGACAAAAAAACAAAAATAAAAACAAAAAAAACTTAAGGAAAAAAGTGACTTTTGGCCAGGCATGATGGTATAAGCCTTTGATTTTAGTACGTGGGTGACAAAGGCAGGTGGGTCTACGAGTTCCAGGCCAGCCAGGGCTACACAGTGAGAGCCTCTCTCGATAAAAACAACAAAAAAGAACAAACAGAAAAGCGAGTTTTAAAGGGCAAATCTGATGTTGCCTTGTGGGTTTTGTAATATGTAAATACAACACACATTATTCATAATACAAATGACAAAGGACAGATACAAGGCAACAGGAATATTCTGTGAGAAATTCCTAGAAAAGTATTTCTTTTAAAAAGATGCCAGATGTGGTTGTGCATGCCTGTAATCCTAACACCAGGGCGGCTGAGGTCGGTGGTTGAGGCCAGGCTAGGCAACAGAGTGTGTTAAGTAGCATGACAAGCGCGTGGGGGTCAGTCCTCATCTTGCACCTTCCTGCTCATTACTGTCCTCTGCTAGAGTGTGAGCTGTGTGAGGCACTGTCAGTGTGAGCTGTGTGAGTGACATGTCCCCTGCAATGGACAAGGCCTGCGAGATGGCAGATCCTCAGCAGACACCTGGTAAATGCATGGAAAATGAGAGATGCCAAGTTCATCTAAGCACCAGGCATCAGTGCTCATCTTAGAACTCATCTGCTTCCTCAAGGCTGCGCTCTGCTCTGCAGCTCAGAGCCCACCCAGCAAAGTGCCTGACAGGAGCGAGAAGCTCTGAGATCCACCCACCAGGTCCACATTCTCGGGAAACCTGAAGCTGACAGAGGCTCCACCCCACCCAGCCAGGCGGGTGCCAGGACCCCTGTGAAATGAAGGCACTTACCCCATTCCCTGTTTGAAAGCTTCAATCAACTCATTCTTTTTATTCTGATCTTCTACCCAGTACACACTTGGAATTACAAACTCTGATATCACACGGCACTCCGGACAAGACCTGAAGAACAAACAAATCAGGTTTGTAAGGGGAAAATAGTATCACGAGTCCTTTGCACATTCCACTCTGAAACCCCTTGTTCAAATGCACGGCCAGAGACACCATCACCACCATCTAAGAGCAGCCTGTGCTGATGAAAAGGTTCAACTCAGTAAGAAAAAGAGATCTGAGCATTCATCCAGGACAGCCAATAATCACACAAACAATGCTCATTATCCTCAGTGACTATGGAAGGCAAGATGACAGTAAGATATACTTTACTCCTGGGACAGCTCAGATTAGAAATAAAGGCAAGTGTTGGAGAGGATGTAAAGAAACTGGAATCCTTATCTGCAGGTAAGAGTAGGAAATAGCTTCAGTTAGATGCCAAGCTACTGTGACACTCCTGGGGTCTAGACTTGTATGAGTGCCCACTAGCTGGTGAGTAGATTACAAGCTGTTTCTCAGTCAGAGCACTTGTCACCCATACAGCATGCTCATCAGGGGTGGCCCTGGGAACACTTGCTAAGGCAAAGGCCATGCGTAATGACGGGCAGAGTAAGGTATTTGTGGAGAAAAAACCTAGGTTGGGGGCTGACAGAAGACAACAGGAATGGGGGATGACGAGGTTTCTGAAACTAGACTGCATGTCAGCTGAGCAACTCTGGAAAGTACTAGACACTGCAGAACTGTATTCTTCTATCTCAGTGAAGCTGCCGCAGAGGCAGGTGCCCCGACAACGTGCACCAGGCAGTAGGAAGTGCACAGGAGTCATATTCCAAGGGAGCTTCAACCCTTTATCAAGGTAAAAAACCCCAAAGCATGAAAATGTTACAAGGCAACTAGCCTAAGGCAGATACAATGACTGTCCGGAGTCCATTCGGTCTGCAAGACAGAACCCAGCCAGCAACAACTTTTGGTTTTGCAATTTCCCCAACATGGAGAGATTGAAAAGGCTGTCATTTAAGACAGACGGGCCTGGAAGGATGACTTGTACAAGCTCACACAGCTGGGGCCTGAGCTCTAGAGGGCAGCAGTCCCCATGCCCGCAGAGAAACCCAGCTGCACTCACTTTATGATCGGGTTTTCAAACTGTTTAGCGCATCTCCATTGGCGGATGCAGGAAAGGCAGTAGGTGTGGCTGCAGCTGGAGAGAATGCCAAACCTCCTCTCAGAAGCAGACGCCTTCTCCAAGATCACCTCCATACAGATACTGCACACTTTGTCCTGGCTCGCCTGGAAGGCAAAAGCCTTTTCCATCTCGTGTTCAAATGTCGACATACACATCTGAGGACGACAGGGAGGGAAGCTTTAGGTTCTCTTTGGCCAAGATCCCAGGAGCTGCTCAGTCACATAGTCACAGTAGCTGTTAAAAACAGTACCCACAGTCCCTGAATTCAGGACACAAAGATCTGACCACAAAGTGGACCTCAAGCCACCTTGTCCTTGTCCTAGGTTCCCTAGTAGAATATGGTCACTACCAGTTTAGCAGCCATGGAGTTCTAGAACACTTAGGTCACTGTGGGAGTTGTAGGTCTCCTGGCTCTTCTGGATGTTGTGCCTATTCCATGCCACAACAATACAGGAAATGCCAAGTAACTGTGACTGAGCTAAATGAATTCAAGTGAACGAAGGCGGATGAGAAGACCCAGGCCCCTGCTCTCAGAGCTGAGTGCATATAACAGTGCCCTCTGCACGTGGATGAAGATCAGACCCAATCTGAGTTCCACAGCTTGCTACTCCACCGTCCCATGGAAGCTGGACTGCCCGGAATGCTGTCTGCTGACATGTGCATTAGCAGCCCTCCTGGGACACAGGCCTTCTCTGTCAGAGAGGCCATGACCACTTTATTCCGCATAATTACCAAGTCCTTAGGAGGGAACCTGGCCTCTAACACTGTAACCCTGAGCTTCTTCCCTTCTCTAATCCATCTTCATAACTCTGGAACGAGCAGAGCCTGATGTAAGGCATAGCCTCCAGACGCCAGGACATTCATAACCTTTCAACACTTGGCTCCCAAGAGTTCATGATCAAAGGGACTAGAGAGATGGCACAGCAGTTAAGAGCTCTTGATGATCTTCCAAAGGACTTCAATTTGGTCCTAGTACCCTCATCGGGCAGCTTAACACTGCCTGTAACTCCAGCTCAAGGATTCTACAACTCTCTCACCTCTACAGGTACGTACACGTGTACACACACACACACTTTAAAGAAATGTCCACAATAAAGGTTTTTCAAAGTTTTCAAAATATTGGCTAACTGGATCCCAACCACAGAGATATGTAAACCGAGGGATGTGTGAGAGATTGGGTGTACATGTGGTATAGAAGGCAGGCACAGGTATATGTGCTCCTGAGTTGGAGCTGTTTTCTTTACTTTGTATTTCTTTTACTCATTAGTTTTCTTAAAGAATGTACTCAATGTTCTGTGAGATGAACACATTCATGCTTTTTAAAAAATGATTTATTTCTTTTTAATTTTTATTTTATGTGCATTTGTGTTTTGCTTGAATGTATATGTGTGTAAGAGTGTCGGATCCCCTGTAACTGGAGTTACAGTTGTGAGCTGCCACGTGGGTGCTAGGAATTGAACCCCGGGTCCTCTGGAAGAGCAGCTAGTGCTCTTTACCACTAAGCCATCTCGCCAGTCCCTGATTTATTTTTATTTTATGTGCACTGGTGTTTTGCCTGCATGGGTGTCTGTGTGAGGGTCTTGGATCCCTTGGAACTGGAGTTACAGACAGTTATGAGCTACCATGTGGGTGCTGAGAATTGAACCCAGGTCCTTTGGAAGAGCAACCAGTACTCTTAATACTGAGCCAGCTTTCCAGCACTACTTTGCATTTCTTAAAGCTTAATTATTTCCTTTTCACTATAATTCGTGTGTACATGTGTGTGCGTGTGTTGTGTGTATACACGCATGAGGTTCTTATGGAAGTGAGAAGGGGATGTCAGACCCCAAAGTGGGTGCTAGGAAGTGAATGTTGGTCCTCTGCAAGAGCAGCAAGTGCTCTTAATTGGTGAGCCATTTTTCCAGTCCTAAACTTTGCATTTCTAATACTTCTTATTCTTCTGTGTTCTAATTAATCAAAAACTGATCAACTGGCAACAGGAAAAGAGCTTGAAAACCGAGTACAGTAAGTCAGTACACAACACAGGCAGTCCTGGCACAAAGACGGCTGTGAGACTCCGGCCTGTGGTACACTCAGGGTTCTTAAAACGAGTTCATGCAAGGCTTTCAAGTTACCTTCTCATGAGCTTTCCTTTGTTCTGGGTCAAAGGGGTGCAGGACTTGAAGCCTGCAGATCTCACACATGTCCCCATGCAGGTAGACACAGGCATCTCCAAACCGGCACTCCCCAGCAGCAGCATAGGGGCACAACTGCGGCTCACTGCTGTAGGAGCTGCTGGCCTCCAAGTCATCTAGGCCACTCCTGATGGCATCTAGGTAGGAGTGGGGCTTCATCTCTGGGCTGGTCTGAGGGTCACTGCAGCCACCTGGATTAGTCACTGTGCTCGGGAGAGTCTTCTCTTCAGCCAGGCCAGTGAGATCTCAACACAAAATGCACACATACACACACACATGAGAACGGGCTCACCTTCACGTCAGCTACTAGGCCCAATTAGGAACAGCTAGGGAAAAGCAGGCCCAAGAACAAGAGTGCAGAGCCTGCGGGATGGCCAGGTGGTCAAGGGCTTGCCATGCAGAACAGAAGAGAATGGGGTCTTTTTTATATAGAACACAAAGGTGTCAACATAGACTATTTAATGCTAAACCACCCCAACACATGAAACCCCGAGAGGAACAACCCCAAGAGCTAGGAAACCTTCCTGAGGCCCAGCAGCACAAAAGCCACTTGACTTCCTTCTCAAACCTGGTCTCAGCCTAGACCCCTTCCTTGCCCTGTATCTGAAGAGGCTCCTGAAATCCCTAAAGCAGTCACTACCAGGGCATGGCACCAAACAAGAAGAGAGTCACACGCCCCTCCATTAAAATACCCAGCTTCAGCCTGGCGGTGGTAGCACACATCTTTAATCCCACCACTCGGGAGGCAGAGCCAGGCAGATCTCTGTGAGTTCGAGGCCAGCCTAGTCTACAGAGAGTGTTCCAGGACACCCAGAGCCACACAGAGACACTCTATCTCAAAAAAACAAAAACAAAAGACAAAATAAAAAAAAAAATCCCACCCAGCTTCAAAATGAATAGCCTGCAGCTTCTCATCAGTGGTGATGAGGCAACTTCATGGTGACAAAAGACCACTCTGACACCCAGCTGTGGAAATGCACCCCCGAACCTCTGCAGCCTGTTTTCAACTCAACACTTGACACCCCGGGAGCTTCCTAGGGAGGTCTGAAAGCGGCACGAAGGCCCACATGCCGCTTCCCCGCTTCCCGCCTCCCCCAGGTATGAAGGCTGCAGTCACTCACTGCGGTCCCTGAGCACCAGTGTCTTCTTCTCCCGCTTCCCCGCCTCCCCCAGGTATGGAAGGCTGCAGTCACTCACTGCGGTCCCTGAGCACCAGTGTCTTCTTCTCCCGCTTCCCTGGTTCATGCAAATGTGTCCTCATAACAGATGTGGCGATGTCAGGAGAAGGGTGAGGACTGGGCAAGCTTGGGGAGGGCAAAGAGTGGGGTGCAGGGCCCACAGCTCCACCTGCTGCAGCTGGGGGCTTTGTATGATCATATCTGAACAAAACATGACAATGTATCATGGTCATGCAGGCCCAGCACTGCCCCCCCCCCCCCACTACCCACACTCCTAGCCACCAACAGCTGGACTCATCCAGGTGGGGAAGGGTCTGTCTCTGTACTCTCAAACAGAAAAGGCTATTGGGGCCATGGAACCTGCTACCTATCCCCACACCTAAGTGTCCCAGTAGGACTGACAGGAACCCATCCACTGCCCAGGACACCAAGAGAGAGCCCTTGACATCTGTGCCACCAGGAGGCCCTTTGGGAAGGACTCTCCAGGACGCACAGATGGGTGGGTGGATGGGTTGGGAAAGAGCAGGTGGCTGACTCAAACTCTAGAGCTCTGCCAGACATCGAGGACTAGATAGGCTCTGTTCTCCAAAGTGTGGAGCACCTCACACTGTTGTCCAGCCTGGTGCAACAGGGTTGTGTGTGCACAAATGCCATGAGCCTCCATGCCAGAAGTCACTCAAGCTTGAACTGGAAATGGCTTTAAAATAAATGGCATACCACCTCATGACATAAAAAAACCATGATGAGAGGATGGGCTGGTGGCAATTGGAAAGTCTAGGGTGTGTTTATACGGGATTTAAAAGCAAGACACAAATTATTAATATTCTAAGTACAATTTTAAATTTAAAATTTCCCCTCATCAATACCCATGCTCAGGCAGGCATATGGCATACACCTGTGTTCCTACCACCGGGGGTGGAGGCAAGAGATCCGAAGTTCAAAGCCAGCCCTGGCTACATAGCAAGTCTGAAGTCAGCCTGGGTGGCATAAAGCTGTCAATAATACCAAACACAACCCCCACTCTCCACACACAGCTTCACTCCAGTAGCCACAGCTGTGGCAGCCTTGCCTGCAGCGTGCACCATAGGCACAGTAGCCCTTCTGGTAGTATTTGCAGATGTTGGATGGCTTGCTGTTCGCCAAGTCATGTGAGAATAGGCACTGGCTGCCTTCGCGACACACACCATGCATAAAATACCTGAGGAGACAAGCAAAGAAGAGCTGAGTCCCGCCTGGGAAAGCAGCACTCTCCAGCACTAACACGCCAGCCCCGCCCATACTGCCCTCACTTTCCTTGATTCTAAACAAAGTGATTTTACATGAATCACAATGACCCAAGACTAGCTTTTTTTTTTTTTTTGGTTTTTCGAGACAGGGTTTCTCTGTGTAGCTTTGCGCCTCTCCTGGAACTCACTTGTTAGCCCAGGCTGGCCTCGAACTCACAGAGATCCGCCTGGCTCTGCCTCCCGAGTGCTGGGATTAAAGGCGTGCGCCACCACTGCCCGGCTAAGACTAGCTTTTTAGAAGAAAAATGACCTCAAAAAGTTTCTATATGGGGGATGGAGAGATGATTCAGCGGTTACGAGTACTTTCTGCTTTTGCAGAGGACCCAGCCTCTGTTCCCAGCACCCATCTCAGCTAACAACCATGTGAAACTCCAGTCTCAGGGGGATCTGATGCCCTCCTTCGGTCTCTCTGGTCACTGCATGCATGTGGTACACACACATACATGCAAGTAAACATTCATACACAGAAAATATTTTTCAAAACCCTTCTATGTGGATAAGCTCTTGATTTATGTTAAGTATGTAAGATATGAGTTTCATAACTGGGAAAACCCACATGACTGACTGGTGTGAGAAAGTCTTCGGCTCAGGCCAAGTCACAAAGCCTTCTTCCCTATCCTGCTGTTTCACCTGTAAGTGATGACACCAGCTACTACTTCACGAGGTTGCTGCAATGAGCCCCAAGAGAGTGGCATCCAAAGACACAAGTGATGCTGGGCACGGTGGCACAGTCTGAAATCCTATCACTCTCAGGAGGCTGGGGATTTAGCTCTGTTGGTAAGGTACTTGCCTAGCATGTGCTAAGCCATGAGTTCCATTCCCTGCACAGAATAAACCAGATGTCGTGGTACATGCCTATAGTCCCAGCACTCAGAAGAGCCAGGAGGATTAGAAATTCAATGTCATCCTTAGCAACATAACAAATCTGAAGCCAGCTTACACAGGAGATCTTGACTTAAAAGAAAATAGACCTGGTCAGCTGGGTGGTGGTGGTGGCAGCGGCAGTGGTGGCACATGCCTTTAATCCCAGCATTCGGGAGGCAGACAGGCGGATCTCTGAGTTCAAGGCCAGCCTGATCAACTCTGTCTCAAAAAACTAAAAAGGTGTGTGAGTGGTTCTTAACCTGCAGGTCTCAACCCCTTTGGGGGTCACATTATCAGATATCCTATATATCAGACACTTACATTACGATTCATAACAGTAGCAAAATTACAGTTATGAAGTAGCAACAAAATAATTTAATGGTTGGGGGTCACCACAACATGAGGAACTGTATTAAAGGGTCGCAGCAGTAGGAGGGTTGAGAACCACTGGTCTAGAGAGATGGTTCAATGGTTAAGAGCTCTTCCAGAGGACTTGGGTCTGATTCCCACCCAACACCCATATGGCAGCTAACCACCTGTAATTCCAGTTCTAGGGAGACCTGACACTCTCTTCTGGCTTCCTCAGGTACTGCATGCATATGGTGCATAGTTATACATGTAGGCAAATCATATAATATACACATATAAATAAAAGTAAAAAGAGAAGGGGAACCAGAGTGTGCACTGGGTACAAGGGATAGCTCTGGGATGGTGGACATACATATTCAAAATGAACTGGTGACAAAACCTAAAAAAACAAAAAAACAAAAAAAAAACCCCAACCTTTGACATTTCTAACAAGTTTTTATAAGTTACACCTCAATAAACATTTCAAGACAGACAGAGACAGGGGGTGGGGGGGTGGCTAGACAATCAGGCAGAACACGGGATGGTTAGTAACCAGGTGCAGCATTCACATCTGGTCACCATCTGGCTTCAAAAGATGATAAAAGATGTAAAGATGTTTGAGGCAATGCACTGAAGTCTTGAGTATGGACTAGGCCACAGTCCATACTAGCCGGTAAAATGAACATTTACTGGGGCTGGTGAAACAACCCAGCTGGCAGTGTGTTCACCAGCTGGCATGAGGAGCATCACTGCAAGCGACAGTACTTGCTGCCTGTAATGTCAGCACTCTGGAGGTGGAGCAGTTCGAGGTCACCCTTGGCTACATGGGGGGTCCATGATGACCCATCCCTTAAGCCCCAAATAAAGAATACATAAAAACACAATAAATTGAATACAGCTGAAAAGAACAGATTATTGCTGTGAAATAATCCTTTGGTAAACTTACTGTGTGAATATATGTCACTATGATTGGTTTAATAAACAAACTGACTGGCCAACAGCTGAAAGGCTAAGCGAGGAAAGCCAAACGGAGAATGATGGGATGAGGAAGGGCAGAGTCAGAGGAGTTGACAGCCAGATGGAAAATGAGTCAGATACACAAAATGGGATAGAGGTAAAAGCCAAGAGCCTCAGGGCAGCACACAGATTAACAGAAATAGGAAAACTTGTAAGAGCTAGTTAGTAACAAGCCTGAGCTATTGGCCAAGCATTTATAATTTATATTAAGTCTCTGAGTAAGTTATCTGGGAGCAGGTGGTCGGAACAGGAAAACTCCACCTACAGATTATAAAACATCATATAGCCAGACATGGTGGCTCACATCTTTAAACCCAGTACTCAGAAAGCAGAGGCAAGCTGATCTGAGTTCAAGGCTAGCCTGGTCTACAAAGAGAGTTCCAGAACAGCAAGAGCTGTTACAGAGAAACCCTGTCTTGAAAAATCAAAAGCAAACAGCAACAAACAACAAAACCCCCAAGACAAAGAAAGACAGAAAGAAAGAAAATAATAATAATAATCCATGCACAAAACCCACAAAAGTAGTATGTACATATAATGGAATATTATTCAGCCTTAAAAAGGAAAACATTTCCAACTCAAAACTACATGAATGAGCCGTAAGGACACTGTGCTAAGTGAAATAAGCCATCACAACAGATACATGTGAGGAGGTACTTTGAACAGTTAAATTCATCAAGGCAGAAAGCAGAGGGACTGCTGGCAGTTAAGCGGGGAGACTGGAGTTCAACATAGTATTTTTGTCTCACAGGCAGAACTCTGGAGATTACTTACATAACTGAAAATGTACCAAGGCCACAGAACTGTAACATGGGCGCCCTGGCAAAGCTTAAGCTATATTAGATTCACTTTATCACAATGTTTTTTAGGGTTTCTACTAAAATGAACACCATGATGTATGAGGAAGAAAGGGTTTATTCAGCTTTCAATTCTCAGGCGGCAGTCCACCACTGAGTTCCAATGAGTTCACTGAGGGCAGGAACTCAAGGCAGGAACACTGCTGACTGGCTTGCTCAGCTTACCTTCTTATACTGCCCAGGGGTGGCACTGACCACAGTGAGCTGAACTCACATCAATTACTAATCAAGAAAAAGCAGACCTACAGGCCAGTCTGATGGAGGCATTCTCAAGACCCCTCTTCCCATGTAACTCTAGTTTGTGTTAAGTTGACAAACAAAAAACCAACCAGGACATACAATATTCTTTAAAAATTCCATATACAGGACCTCATTTTGTCTAAAAATATTATGAACATAAACTATTGTGCTAAGACTGGTGATCCATAGAAGTATTGAACTGTCTAGAATAAGGGGACTCACAGAAGGGTTAAAAAAGAGGGTGGGCGGGTACCTGGGATAAGCTCAATATATAAATAAAGGGGTGGAAACTTTAAAAGCTGGTGATGCTACAATAGGGTGGTGGAATCCAGGCCATCATGGGGCACTTTCCTGACTTCAGCACCTGCACTTCCCCACATTTCTACATGAACACATTACATAACCACCTTTGTAGTAACAAAGTGCTGATGGTGCTTGTAAACTACTGGGTGCAGTGTACACTGTTCAGTTCAGTCTTATTCAGGCTCCCCAGAGTGCAACTCTTATGAAGGTCTGTAAAGGACAGGGACAAGTCACACTGATGTAACCTTCCAAGTGCAGGCTGAGTGCTGGGGAAGCAGCGACAGGAGACACAGATGGCCAGCGAAGGAGAGACTAGAAGTTCATGCTGCATGGAAGAAAACGGGCCAGAAAGAAAGGGCAGAGAGGTGAGGTGTGGGCAGGCCTGCTGGGAGCCTAGACGGGAACCATGCTACCAGTGCTCACCAGGTCACCTTAGTGTTAGCTGTAACTCTGCTGCTCAGGCCAGGCTTTCTGGAGATTCCAGAACACCCCCTACGGTGAGGCTGGCAGCCTGCAGGTATGAACACTGCTGGGAGGAGGGGCCTGAAGAAGGTAAAACATCCCTTCACAAAAGGCTCAGAGATGCTTTTCTATAACATAACAGCTTTACTGGAAAAGAATATTTAAAAATTTACTTAAGAACACAAGGGCCAGGCACTTGAGATGCTGAAGAGGAGGACTGCCACAGCTAAATGCCATACTGGCTACGTACACCACCTTGTAGAAAAAAAGGAAACACACACAGACACACAGACACACACACACGAAATTTCCCCACCAGCCGAAGTGGACCAGCAGATTTGATCCTGACCGAAAGCCAGCTGTGTTGCTACTGGCCTGCCTGGTTTACCTTGCACCCCTCCCTTTTGGTAAAGAACCTTTCGGAATTAACTTGTGGGTGGAGCCTCCTCACAATCCGCTAAACAAATAACAATCTGAGGAACACATGAGGGGAGGAAACATATAAAGGATGATTAGTGGCTATGAACCATCTTGGCTTCGAACTCATGAGAGGAACATACAACCCAGGAGGAAAATGGGAGAGAGTGGGGCGTTTACCCACCACCCCCACAGTTCCCCAGAGTTTTCTTGAGTGCCAGCAGCAGGAAATATTAGATAGAAGGATTTATTGCGGAGAATCTTGCGGAGATAAACAGAAAATAAAGGATAGCCTCGAGAGGGCCTGGAACCTTTTCCAATGGGCCCCGACTGTCTCTGCCCCAGGGTTTTTATAGAGACGCCAAGGGGTGGAGCAAAAGACCTCCTCCCCCAGCACAGCCAAG